TTCAGGTGTAATCTGATAATCGGTTGAATTCGTGAGAATCAACCGTATTATAGAGTGGGTTAACTCAAGAATTGGATCCCGAGTCAGTTATCTTGCACCTATCTAGTCAATTACCCCTATGTTTCTCATTGATATTTCTTTGTAGCTCATGTGTTGTCTTTTGTGATCCATTATTATTTGTTTAATTTTTAGTGGTTAATCGTAGTAATAGTCATCAAATCAAGTGTTAATTTTTCTAGATAGTAATCAACTGGAGATTATTCAAACACAATTTAAATCCAATCCATGTGGAGAAGATAATTAATCTATACTATCGTTGATTAACGAGCAATAATTTTGTGTTATGTTTTGCGCTCGTCAAATTTTGGTGGCTTGGCAATCAATAGTGTTTAAAATAGTTTTTAGTACTAATTGAGGAACCAAGTTTTACTTTAGTTATTCATGTTTCTTACTTGTGTGCAGGATACATGTTTGATTTATCTGGTGTATGACTCGATCCTCTTCAAAGGAAGTGATACCCTACGAGCCAGAGTTGGAGAAACACATGTGACAACTGAGAAAAGAAAGAGAATTAACAGAGAATTTCTTGGGCCATACTTAGACAAAGGATAACATGGCAAACAAAGAGAATGATGGAGTAAACTTAGCTGCAAGAGAGGCAGCACAACAAGACGCTACACAGTTAGCAGGTGAGGCAGCCCGTAGAATTGCTGATGAGACCGTCGACGATGATAGAGGTCGAAGATTCAATCTAAACCGACCCTTAGTTGAAGACCAGTTCGAGAATGCAACACCCAGGCCTCGAAGATCATTGGGTAACTATGCCAGACCAGTCTACAATCAAGGACTGTCAAGTGTCAGACCTCCACCCATATAAGCAAACCACTTCGAGTTGAAGTAAGGCTTGCTTCAAACCATCCAAAACAACTGCATCTTCAGAGGGAAGGAAAATGAAGATCCAAACACTCACTTGATAGACTTTGAAGAAATCATGAACACCTTCCAATACAATGAAGTATCAAAGGATGCAGTCTACTTAAGGGTATTCCCCTTTTTATTGAAAGATGACACAAAGCAATGGCTTCATAGCTTACCCAAAGGTTCAATCAAGACCTGGGAAGATATGACCAAAATATTTCTTGACAAGTACTTCTCAGCTGCGAAAACAGGGAAGTTCAGAAGGGAAATCCATAATATATGCCAAAAGGAGACAGAAAGGTTTTCAAAGCTTGGGAAAGATTCAATGAGATAGTCAGGAAATGTCAGAACAATGGCATTCATTTGTGGATGCAACTCCAGGATTTTTGGGATGGACTGACACCCTCCTCGCAATGAACTCTGAATACTGCATGTGGAAGTCCACTAATGAAGAAAACTCCAGAGGAGGTTATCTTAATCCTTGATGAATTATCTGAGGATGCTAATCAGTGGTCGGCTGAGAGTAATGACAAAAGAAAATCTATTGGGGTTCACCAAGTGGACTCTAACACATCCATGCAAGGACATCTATACAACATGTCCAAAAAGATAAGAAAGCTAACATTGGCCAAGGTACAGAGCGAGCCGCAAGCATCATATGACTTTTGTGGAATGGGACACCCTACACATGAGTGTCAAGCATCAGATGAGGAAGTCATCCCTTTGGGGAACTTTAATAGAGGAAACTACCAAGGTGGGAACAACTATAATGCTATGGGTCAAAGACTTCCAGTTTCTTCATGGAGTTCACCTAGTAGGAGTCTGAACTCGTGGCAGCAAAATAATCCTAGACCCTAGGGTCAAGGACCACCAGATTTTTGGAACTAGCAGAGGCAGCAATACCAACCACAATAGCCAAATCAGTCATGTATGGAAGATCTCATGAAGGCATTCACCAATAAAACAAATGAAAAATTCAAGACTTAGGGCACTGCTATCCGGAATTCAGAAAGACAAATAGGATAGATTGTAATTTTGTTATCTGAGAGTGCTCTTGGGACTCTTCCCTATTACACTGAAAAGAAGCTAAAGGAAATAATCAAAGTCGTATCTCTGAGAAGTGGCAAAATATTGACTGAACCAGTGGTGAAAGCTAGACCTAAGGTAGTTAACATGCAGATTGAGACACCAGTAGAGAAAAAGAGTGAAGAGCAAAAAGGCGAGTGTAGTGGGGTAAAAAAGGAGAATAAAGAAAGTAGACATATGCCATCTCTACCATTCCCTTAAAATATGAAGCGGGGGAAACTTGACAAATGTTTTGGGCTATTCTTGGAGATGCTCAAGCAACTTTATGTAAATATTTCCTTCAAAGAGGTACTCACTCAGATGCCTGCTTATGCAAAGTTCTTGAAGGAAATCCTGTCTAGCAAGAGAAAATTAGAGGAGACAACACTGGTCAAGCTGAATGTCCACTGCAGTGCCATATTGTAAAACAAAATTTTCCAAAAATGTGGGGATCCGAGAAGCTTCACCATACCATACTCGTTGGGGAGTGAGAAATTCGACAAGGCCCTCTACGATTCTGGTGCATCTATAAATGTAATGCCTCTGTCTATATTCGGCAAATTGGAAGATGAGTTTGGAGTGATCAAATCAATACCAGTGTCCCTACAACTGGCTGACCAGACCACCATTTTACCTGAGAGAATCATTGAGGATATTCTAGTGCGGGTGGACAAATTTGTGTTCCCCTTAGACTTTATTGTGGTAGATATAGAGGTGAATAAGGAGGTGCCTCTAATTATAGGGAGGATATTTTTATGTACAGGCAGAGCTATCCTTTATATTTATGAGGGGCAACTTATGCTCAAAGTAGTCAATGAAAAAGTGGTGTTCCAGTTGAAGATGATGATGAAATACCCCAGTGAAGAGACGTCCGCCTACTCGTGTTTCAAGCTAGATGTTGTTGGGGGAATTGGCTGAAAAATACAAGTTTGACAAGCTTGTGGGGGATACTCTAGAGAGATGTATTACTCAGTCTAGCACATTGAAAGGTGAAGATCCCGAAAAAAAGAAAAAGGCTGAAGCTCTTGAAACTAAAAGAGGAGGCTTATAAGCTTAATGTGGAATTGAAAGTCCTCCCTACTCTTAAAATATGTTTTTCTTGAAACTAATAATTTTTCTGTGATTATTTCTGCTGACTTGACAGGTACAAAAGAGCAAAAGCTGGCGGAGCTACTGAAAAGGCACAAGAAGGACATTGGCTGGAGTATAGCTGATATTCAAGGAATCAGTCCAGCCATTTGCATGCACAAATTTCTGTTGGAAGAAAATAGCAAGCCAGTGGTGCAGCCCCAACGCAAGTTGAATTTTGTTTTGGAGGAGCTAGTGCACAAGGAGATCATCAAACTTCTAGATGCAGGAGTGATTTTTCCATCTATGATAGCCAGTGGATTAGTCCGGTGCAAGTTGTACCTAAGAAGGGGGCATGGTAGTTGTGAAAAATGAAGACAATGAATTGATCCCCACAAGAACAGTCACTGGTGGAGAATATGCATTGATTATAGAAGGTTGAATGATGCAACAAGGAATGACCACTTCCCACTCCCCTTTATTAATCAAATGCTCTAGAAAGTGGCTGGACATGGATGTTAATGCTTCTTGGATGGGTACTCATGCTACAATCAGATACCCATTGCCCCAGAAGATGTTGAGAAGACCACATTCACTTTCCCGTCATGTATTTTTGCTTACAGGAGGATGTCGTTTGGGTTGTGTAATACACCTGCCACTTTTCAAAGGTGCATGATGTCTATATTCTCTAATTTAAATGGGAAGTGTCTAGAAGTATTCATGGATGATTTCACCCTCTTTGGTGATATCTTTGAGGACTGCTTGAAGAATTTGGAGCTCGTGCTTGAACTTTGTGAAGCCATGCACTTGTTTCTTAGCTGGGAGAAGTGTCACGTCATGGTGAAAGAGGGAATTGTCTTGGGACACAAAGTGACTGCACATGGAATTTAAGTTGATAGAGCAAAGGTTGATTTAATTGCTAGGATCCCTCCACCGACTTCTGTGAAGAGAATAAGGAGTTTCTTGGGACATGCTGGGTTCTATAGGAGGTTCATCAGAAACTTTTCCAACATTAACAAATTGTTGACTGCATTGCTAGCGAAAGATGTCAAGTCTGTTTTCAATGTGGAGTGCCTAAGAGCATTCTAATTGATAAAAGAAAAGCTTGTGAGTGCTACTATTATGGTTACGCCTGATTGGAGCCAGTCATTTGAGATAATATGTGATGCTAGTGATGTAGTCGTGGGAGCAGTTCTGGGGCAAAGAAAAGATAAGATGTTTAGGCCAATCTACTATGCAAGTAGGACGTTGAATGATGTTCAAGTCAACTATTCCACTACTGAGAAAGAGTTCTTTGCTTTGGTCTTTGCCTTTGACAAGTTTAGATCATACCTGGTGGGGAGTAAAGTGATTGTGCACACTGATCATTCTTCTTTGAAATACTTGTTGAGTAAGAAGGAGTCCAAGCCGCGTTTGATGCGGTGGGTGTTATTGCTCCAAGAGTTTAACTTGGAGATCAAATATAGGAAGGGCACAGAAAATCAAGTCGCAGATCATCTATCTCGACTTGAGAAACCTCTGAAACAGTTGAAATAAGGGAAGAGTTACCTGATGAGCAGATTTTCTCCATTACTGCAATCTCCAAAAGGACACCTTTGTATGCTAAAGTAGCCAACCTTTTGGTTAGTGGATGGTTGCCTCGTGACCTCTCTCATGATCAAAGAAGAAAGCTTCAAGGTGACGTAAAAAGTTATTTTTGGAATGACCCTTTTTTGTTTAAACTATGTGTAGATAGTGTGATTCAAAGATGTGTGCCTGAGGGAGAGATGGAAAGCATTATGTCTCATTACCATGATGGAGCAGCTGGAGGACACTATGGTAAAAATTGCACTGCAGCAAAGGTCATGGAAGCCGGTTTCTAGTGGCCTACTTTATACAAACACGTACGAGTGAATGTAGCTGCATGTGACAAGTGTCAAAGGGCTGGTAATATTAGCAAGAGGGACAAAATGCCTCTCAACTCTATTCTGGTATGTGAAATTTTTGACGTTTGGGGCATTGACTTCATGGGCTCGTTCCCATCGTCGCATTCTTATGAGTATATCCTAGTAGCCGTTGATTACGTCTCTAAATGGGTCGAAGCAATCCCTACTAGGACCAATGATGCTCGAGTGGTGTGTGAGTTCTTACGGAAGAACATCTTTACCCGCTTTGGGATACCTCGAGTGATTATCAGTGATAATGGGTCACACTTTGTGAACAAGCAGTTTGCTGCACTGCTGTCCAAGTATGGGGTCACACGCAAAACAAGAACCTCGTACCATGCCCAAACTAGTGGGCAAGTTGAAGTGGCTAACCGTGAACTTAAACGAATTCTTGAAAAGACGGTTAATGCTTCTCGTAAGGATTTGTCAGTAAAGTTGGATGAAGCTCTATGGGCGTACAGAGTTGAGTTCAAAACAACCATAAGGACTTTACCATTCAAATTAGTGTATGGAAAATTGTGTCATCTACCTATTGATATAGAACATAATACTTATAGGGCAATTAAGATGCTTAATCTTGATCTTAGTCTTGCAGATGAGCACAGGTTATTGCATATGAATGAATTGGATGAGTTTACACAGAACGCGTACGAAAATGCGAGAATCTTTAAGGAAAAGACAACGAGGTGTCATGATCAGCTGATTAAGCCAAATGAGTTTCATGAAGGGGACAAATCCTTACTATACAATAGTAGACTTAGGTTGTTCCCCAGAAAATTCAAGTCAAGATGGACAGGTATGTATGTGATGAAACATGTCTCACTGTATGACGCCATTGAGATACAAGATGAGGAGGGGAATGGGAGATTTAAAGTGAAAGGGCATAAGTTGAAACCGTAACTTGTTGGAGGATTTGACAAGCAATCCTCTAGCATCGTGATCAAATGAGCCTAAGTGACAGAGTCAAGCTGACGATTATAACTTAGAACTACTTCTAATCCTTTTTTCTCTTATTTTTAGAATAGTTTAATTGACTATAGATTAGGACTAATTGTGTTTTAGGAGTTATCAGAATGAATTTGACGCAGAATGAAGCTCGAGCACGAGGGAGTAGTCAAGAAGCAGGAAAATGAGGACTATGCAAAAAACATCATTTTTTGTGTCGCCTAGTGCTACACATGAGGTGGCATTAGTGAAATTCATTTTCAGAATTCATAATTAATCACAGAGTTGGCAAATCCCGGAATGTACTAATGCGTCGCAGGGCGCGACGCGCTGTATTAGCACATATTTGCATAAATAATTCCAAATATCAGAGAATGGGTAGACAACAAAATGCATTAGCGCGTCACACTAAGCGTCGCACCATGCGATGCATCAGGAACAATGCCTCGTCGAGCTAGCAAATGTATTAATACTAGTGCTCCTACAGGTGTTTCTAGTAGCTGTCAGCCTTTTAGGAGGGCACCCACAACTGTGGACTCCTCAGATGGCTTAGACACTGATGTGCCATACTTGGATGCTGATATGCCAGAGCCCACATATGGGGTGTTATCAGTGCTGCCCCAATCATGCGAGTGGTTTCAGAATTTTGTCCCATATGAGGAGCCTACTGCTGATGTTGGGATTGATTGGCGAAAGTTTCATAAGAAGTATCCAGAGCTATATGCCAACATCACCGCAATGAAATTGCATGGCCTGTATGATTCCATCAGCGGAGCTAATTTTTGTATGGTGAAGGAGTTCTATGCCAACTGGGTACCCGAATTCCAGTATGATGGGGAGTACTGTGTCAAAATATATGAGAAGAGAGTCAAGTTTTCTGTTGAGATAATTAATGATGAGTTGGGGTTTAGGAATGAGTCTCATGCTCAGTTCGTGGCATTTATGAAGAGGCCTGCTTACCAAGCCATCTGCGAACTTCTCTGCGGACCTAATTCTTTGGCTACATGGAATAGGGATAAGGATGACCGACATTCCACCATGACTCGAGCTAATTTGCAACTACTAGACAAAGTGTTATTATAGTTTATCAATAAGAAAGGTTTACCAAGCAGCAATGATTCCACTATTTCGCGCCTCCGGGTATGTTTGATATATGCTATGATGAGTCAGATGCCGTTGAATATGGGCAAGATTATTATTGCTAACATGGCTAGGGTGAGGATGGTTGGATTGCGGAAGTTGCTCTATCTGAGCATGTTGACTAGGTTGCTACTATGCCACGGTGTGCATGTTGATGATCAATTTGATCGACAGCTTCCCCCAGTCACCAAGCTTTATGATATCACTACTGTGTAGGATTCGGGTCCTTCTAGAGTCGCTATGACCTCAGACCAGAGACATGACAGGATGGAGAATATTATGTAGTTTATGCTTGCTGATATGCAACTTTGAGCTGCTCGTGGAGAGGTTGACATTGAGGCTTTAGCACATCAGTCACATTTGGGTGTCCCTGCCAAGCATTTTCTAGGATGGTATGGTAGTCCTACACTTCGTCCTGATGAAAATGTCAACTCTATTATGAAGGACGATGATGATACTGTTATTCGAGTCACTACTGATGGTGCTGATGACTAAGCCTAGGCCTCAGGGAGTCCTTTACCACCATTGTTTATTGCTTTGCATTGGGGACAATGTTATCTCCTAAGTGTGGGGTAGGGTCTTCCTATCTGCTTGTATTTGTTTTGTTTTGTTTCTTGCTTATTAGACAATGCGGCATGTAATCGTAACGCTGAATTTTATTTGGCCTATAATAGCTAGTAACTCATGTAGTAGTAGTTCGACTTTGCCCAATGATGGATTTCATCGACTGACTTCTTGAGGGATTTGAAGTCGAACGAGAAAAATACAAAAAAAAAATTAAAAAAAAATTAAAAATCCAAAAATATGTCTTTTATTTTATTTTTACTTTCTTAGGTAGTGTAGTAATTCTCCCTTGGCCTTTCTTTATGCCGCGGTTCTTTTTCAAGGGTTTTAATTGAACCGGGTGTAGTTAGTTTTTTGTTTTATAGCAATAAAAAATCTTGAGTCATAGTGCTAATTTGAAGCAATTTTCCTTGACTGCATAGGCCTTGAGAGTAGTGAGTGCCTTAGTTGTGACGCCTAGGCTCAGTTCTTGACTTTTATATATGTGCCTTAAATTGGTTGATCGTAACTTTGTATAACTACTTTGACTGGAGAGTCGGGAAAGATCCGATCCTAAGTGAGTTATGTGCCAAAGTATGAGTGAGGTTTTTGTTGATATTCTGTGCATTTCGGTGATGTCTAGAACTTGCCTCGTGTGTTTGCAAAATGAAATAGTAGTCTTGTTCAGTCTAGGAAGTGATATGGACATTTCTTCGTTGAGCCAATTATATGTCTGTGACCTGCCTAATTATTCTGTATCCAAGTTAGGCCTTTTGAGCCTGTAATCCTATTTTATTTGGCAACCACACTATAAGCATGACCCTTGTGTTTGAATTGACTATCATGTTTGAAACATTTACCTCTCTTGAGCACTTGATATATTTATGAGATTGTTAAAATCTAAGTGGAGGTATGGTTGGATTTTTGAATGAAACTATAGAAAAGGAGAAAGGTGCACTGGTTGAAAAAAATATTGTTGCGAGAGCCACTTGTGGGGAACGAAAAAAAGAAGAAGAGGAAATCAAAATATAGAAAAATAAATATTTTGGTATGTATATATTATAAAGAAAATTATTCCTTATTAGTGGTAAATCTTGCTTTGTCTGTACTTAAAGAAATTGGGAGCTTGGTGTTAATATGAAGTGAAGGTTGGGGTTTGGTCCAATACAAGTGTGGGGTTTAAATTGAGAAATTGTAAGTATTAAAGTGCTCAAGGAGGTGTAGCCACTATATCCATATGTATCCTACCCATCCCACAACCTACATTACAACCAAAATAAATTCATACTTGATTGACTGAATGAGCTCATTTAGTAGAGTATTACACTACGGTAGGCTTATGCTACATTTTCTGTGGCACATGAATTTTATTCCTGAGAGTGAGTGAATTCTTTCTATCTTGAGTTTCTATTTGTTCTTGAATTTTATTGTGTGTGGAACTACTCTCTAGTGTTGGTGTGAGGGCACATGATTTGCAAAGGTAAGGTAAAGTCTTTGACCTCTGTGTTAGAGTAAGTGAACAGGTTGTGAAAAATGCGTGGTACTTTTGAGTCGAGTCTTGAGGTTAGGATGTTATGATAAGGTGCTTAGTTTATTTTAAATATTCTTGTTATGATGTGTTAGGGATGTTGTTTGATGAAAAGGTCGTCCCTATGTGAAGTGTAGTTTGATTGCTCGAGGACGAGCAATACTCTAAGTGTGGGGTGTTGATGGTAGGCTAGAAACCTGTGTTCTAGCCGTAGTTTACACTCCAAATTACTGTATTTTATTTGTGTTTGAGCTTAAACAATGGCGATTTGCACTTATTACGTGTTTTATGCCTTGCAGGAAATGATTCTGGGTTAATAGGATAAATTGGAGCTAAATTAAATAATTGGAGCTTTGAAGTCTGAGTGAAAGCCAAAGAATTAAACCGGGATCGCATCTGGGGCTCATGGACAGGCGTTGCATACGACAGTGGGAAGAAAGTGGAAGGGCCGGAATAAATGCACCAATGCGACGCACTAAGCGTAGCAGAGTGCGACGCATTAGTGTAAAAATGCGTCAGAAACTTGCTAAGTTCAGAAACTGGGTTTCTTTGGTCTGACAAGAGAAGGCACTACTGCGACGCGGCCTGCGACGCATGGTGCAACACACTATGGGAAAATTCTGTCAGACATGGGGAGTTCAGAGTCTTTGCAACTGAGAAAAAAAGTACTGATGCGACGCAGGCTGCGACGCGTTGTGCGACGCATGAAGAGTAATAAGTTTGCAGGTTTTTCCACTTCGGCTTAAAGAGGGTAGTTTCGTCCGGATTTATTCCTACTTGGTATAAATACACCGAAAACATGTTTTTGAGGGACTTTTTACCTATGAAAGATTGAATAACCAACTAAGGCAAGAAGACTCAAGAATTAATCAATATTTCAACCTGCAATCGGTGCAATACGAGAGTTTGTATCGAATCACTAGATTTGATATTTTCTTTTTTTGAACCTTATTGAGATGTCTTATTTCATTACTATAGAGTAATATCTATTAGGGTATTGACAGATACAGTATTTTGATAACTTGATTAGAGATTCAATTACTGATAATTATTAGAATTAATTGATGGAGTTTTAATTCGTATTGTGGAGTTATTTCTTAGTTTGCTTAATCGAAAGAGGAGGCTTTATATTGAATTGCTTTACATCTTATACTCTAGTTTAAATTCATGATTCATGTAGGTAATCGAAAGATCCGCTTGAATTGTTAATCGAACTTAAAAATAGGAAACATTCGTGAGAAGTTACCCCTTAGATCATAACTATCATTTTATTGTTGTAATTGTTTACCGTGCTTCAATTAGATTAATTACTGAAATTAACATTTAATCAAAAGAGAAACATTAACTTCAAGTGTAATATGATCATCGGTTGAATTCGTGAGAATCAACCGTATTATAGAGTAAGTTAACTTAAGAATTGGATCCCGAGTCAGTTATCTTGCACTTATCTAGTCAATTACCATTATGTCTCTCATTGATATTTCTTCGTTGCTCATCTGCTCTCTTTTGTGATCCATTGTTATTTGTTTAATTTTTAGTGGTTAATCGTAGTAATAGTCATCAAATCAAGTATTAATTTTCCCGGATAGTAATCAACTTGAGATTATTCGAACACTGTTTAAATCTAATCCTTATGAAAACGATAATTAATCTATACTATCTTTGATTAGCGAGCAATAATTTTTTGTTGTAATTTGCGCTTGTCAATTTATTAGTATAATAAAATGACATATTATTATTTAAT